GAAGAGGACGAGGACCTCTCCGGCGCCCTCCCACAGCAGGAGCCTGAGCCTGCCGCTCAGATAGATGAGCTGCCTCCATCTGCCGCAGCAGCGCCCGCATCTGCCGAGACTACAAATGCCTCGGCCGGGCCAGATATCGATCAGGCGCCGCCTTCGAACGGCCACGATGAAGCACTCATGGAGACTGACGCTGCACCGAGTGGGCAGGACGAACCAGAGGGTTCGTCCACGATTGATCCTCCTCCCTCCACGGAGGCATCGGCCGAGGAGGAGCCCGCCCCTGTCGAGCCACCACTCGAAGAGGAGCCCGCCCCTGTTGAGGCGCCACCGGTGGTGCGTTCGCACAGGTGGGAGGCGGAGCACGTCAAGCGGATTGAGACCGACATCGCGACCAACCTCTACAATACCGATGCCTGGCTGGCCCTCATCAACGAGGCCAACCGGCACAGCAGTGACATGTCCTTCCTACGCGAGGCCTACGAGCGATTCCTCAAGATCTTCCCCACGGCAGTACGCTTCTCCGCCCGCTACACGAATAAATAAATAAATAAATAAATAAATAATACTAATAGTACTGGTACTAATGCATAAATAAATAAATAACAATTATAGCAATATAATATAATCAATTCACACGTGGTCGGTGGTTTGTTGTGTTGTAGGGCCGATACTGGAAGCAATACGCAGAGCACGAGATGACGGCCGGCAACTACGCCAACGTGGAGAACATCTTTCGGCGCTGCCTCCTCACGTGTCCCAACATGGACCTGTGGCGGTGCTACCTGACCTACATACGGCTCATCAAGGACGGCAAGCCCGACGAGCGCGAGTCGGTGCTGCGCGCCTTCGAGTTCGCCATCGAGCACATGGGCATGGACCTCAACGCCACCCACATCTGGCGCGACTACATCCAGTACGCCAAGGCCGGGCCCAAGCCGGCCAACCAGTTCGAGGAGAGCCAGAAGGTGGCCACCGTGCGCCGGCTCTACCAGCGCGCCATCGAGAGCCCCATCAGCAACCTCGAGTCGCTGTGGAAGGAGTACGACGCGTTCGAGAGCGGCGTCAACAAGCTCCTGGCCAAGCCCCTCATCGCCGAGTACGCCGGCAAGTACATGACCGCCCGCGCCGTGTGCCACGAGCGACGCGGCTACGTGGACGGCCTCCAGCTCAACATGCTCCCCGTCCCGCCCACCCACACCCCCCAGGAGGCACACCAAGTGCGCCTCTGGCGTCGCCTCATCAACTTTGAGTACGCGACACGCCATCGCACACGCCATCGCACACGCATGTAACTGACGGGAATCTCGCACCACCTGCGCAGAAAAACGAATCCTGAGCGCACGCCGGATGAGCGGCTGCGAAGACGCGTGGGGTTCGCCTACAACCAGGCCCTCCAGTGCCTCTACCACTTTGCCGAGATCTGGCACGAGGCCGCCCAGTACCAAATCGACAACGGCGCTCCCGAGGTACCCTCCCCCCACCGCGTGCATTCCTTCACATTCCAATCCGCATACGTGTGCTTACGGTCGATCGTACGACACGACACGACGCGGGACACGACACGGCACGGCACGACACGACACACCCACCCACAGGAGGGCCAGACGATCTACGAGCGGGCGGTGAACGCGCTGCCGACGAACCTGTTCCTGCACCTGGCCTACGCCGATCTGCTCGAATCCGGCAAGCGGGTGTCCGAGGCCAAGGAGATCTACGAGCGCATCATCCAGCACACGCCCGGCACCAACACCCTCGCCCACATCCACTACCTCCGCTTCCTGCGACGAACCGAAGTGCGCTCGCATTCATTTCATTCTTTCCCATTCACCTTTATTTGTAAACAATTCCAATTCCAATTTTTATTTGAATTCAATTTATTTGTTCAGTTCTTTCTGTATTTTTTATGGTTTTTAATTATATTTATTTCTGTTTTTTTTGGCTGATCGTATGCGAACAATGTTCTCCAGGGGCCGGACGCTGCGCGCAAACTCTTCGTCAAGGCCAAGAAGGCTCCCGGCACCACCTATCACCTCTACGTCGCCACCGGTACGACACGCACCAACACTTTCTTCACTCGGCCCTTCTTGGTCTTCTTGGTCTTCTTCTTGCCCTTGGCTTGACCCTGACCCACCCCGTGGCGCGCGATGCAGCGATGCTGGAGTACCACGCGAACCGGAATGTGGACTATGCGCGGGACGTGTTCAACGCGGGCCTCAAGAAGTTCATCGGGGAGCCCACCTACGTGCTCCACTACCTCCGCTTCCTCATCCAACTCAACGAAGACAACAGTACACACATTGCCGCCCACCTCGCCTCTTCGTACCAGGCGCTGAGCGTGTGTCGTGTGTCGTGTCGTGTGTCGTGTGTGTCGTGTGTGTCGTGTCACAGACGTGCGTGCGGTGTTTGAGAGGGTGCTCGGGAGCGCGGAGATGGCCAACGAGCGAACGGCCGAGCTGTGGAACGCCCTCCTCGAATTCGAGTACGCCGCCGGCGACCTCGCCTCCATCCAAAAGCTCGAGAAACGCCGCGCCCAGATCTTTCCCGAACTCGGTACCCGCCGCGGCTTGTGTGTGTCGTGTCGTTGTGTGCGTGTGTGCGTGCGACTAAGCATGATGGTCGACAGAGCCGGCGAGTGTGCCGTCGCTGGTGCAGCGATACCGGTTCCTGGACCTGTGGCCGAGCGAGCCGTCCGAGGCCTACCTCCCGCTCTCGTTCGGCGTCGGCGCCGCCGCCGGCAAGTCGGCCGACGCACGCGACGAGCGACCCAAGATCGTGGCTCGCCCCGACACCTCCAAAATGATCGCCTTTCGCCCCGAGGTACGTGTATCGCGCGCATCGTGTCGTGTGTCGTGTGTGTGTGTCGTGCTCACCCGCGCGTGTGCGTCAGCTCGAGGCGCCTCCGCCAGAATCGCACGCGATCCCTTCCCTCGGGCACGAAGCGGGTGGCGGCCACCGGCATGGGGGCGATGAGGGGGGGCCGACGATGACCATGGCGCCGTTCTCGCCGCCGCCGTTCAGTCCGACCAACCTGCCCAGCATGAGCCCGCGCTCGCCCACCACGCTCGCCGCCGCCGGGGGGTCCGACGGGGGTCCGGCCCGGCTCTTCGCTTACTACCTGCCTCTCTTCCCTCCGGCCGACTCCTACTACGGTGCGCACACACCAACAGCACGCGCCACACGACCGCACGGCCGCACGACACGCGCGCTGTGCATTAACGTGTCTTGGGTGGTTCTCGCGCGCACAGGTCCTATGGTCAATCTCGACGGGTTGGTCGCACTTCTCCGACAGACGAACATCCCGCCATCGGCCCTTGTGGTTCGTTTTTTCCAAACTCATCCCGCCTCCTTTCTCGCAAAACGTGTGTTGTGTGACCCTCGTGCGTGTGCGGTGTGTGCGGTGTGTGCGATCGAGCAGCCGCCCGCAGGTGGCGGGGATGTAGGAGGCCGGAAGCGCAAGGCGGCGGAGGATCACCACCACCCGCCACCCATGCACATGGGCGGCGGTGGTGGAGGCGGCGGCGGCGGCGGCGGCGGACCGGCTCCCCAGAACGCGCCGCCGGCGAGGGACATCTTTCGGCAGCGCCAGGCCGCCAAGCTCACCCGCTTCAAGTGAGTGCTGTGCCCCCCCCCACCAGCCCAACCACTATTCCCACCATTCTTTCTTCAAGAAACAAACAAAGAACATGGCAACGTCGTCGGCACATCAGCCGCGGCCACAGTCGCACATCTCAAACGGTCCGCCACAGAAATTCGAGTAATAGTCGAGCTGCACGACGCACGCCAGCCGCCGTCCCATCACCAGCAGTCGGTGGCCCGTGTGCCCGTCGGACTGCCCAGGGCCAGAGTTGAGGTCAACCATAACAGTGCCGCGCGCGGGCGCGAGGGAAGAGGAGGCGTGGTACCACGTAGCTGCCGTCCTTCCACATCAGCAGCTGGTGGTGTTCGTCCACCAGATCGGCGAGTGCGTTGAGCGTGCGGCCCACCGGCGGTGGCTTGCACGGGTGCGCCTTGATCACCGTCAAGTCGATTTGTTTCTCCACAATACTGTCCACCGCTGCTCTCCCGATCAAGAGACACACACAACACATGCCCACTCAATGCGACACACACACCACACACCACACACACCACACGCAGCACCGCACAACAAGAAGATATGCGTGTACATTGGGCGAGTGTTGCGTAGGCTTGGTGGTCGGCGATGAGCTGGAGCCGCAGGTGGAGGGGCGGCGGCGTGGTGAAGTAGGAGTGGTGCCAGGCGTCGTCTTCCGGCTGATAAGCGCTCGGCGTCGCCGGGAAGGCCGGGTCCGCCAGCAGCTTGTTGTAGTCCGGCCCGAATGTCACCGTGGTCAGCGCTTCCGCCACCACACCGCTGAGCTCCTCCGCTGCGTTGCGTGTGCGGTGGTGAGTGCGCCTGTGTGTGTGCGCGGTGGTGTGTGTGCGGTGGTGCGTGTACCGGGCACGAAGCGAAGCAGGCCCTCGGTTGGCAGTGGGAACGCTCGCGCGGTGACGAAGCACTGGACCTGGGCGCTGTCGGTGCGCACCTGCGGGTCTAAGGCTCTCGACACCGCCTCGGTGCGCTGCCACGGCAGCCGGCCTGCGTTCGTGGCGGCTCGCGCCAACAGCGCTCCCGCCAGCTGCCTGCGCAGCTCGTCCACCTGTCCACTCGCTACATTGTCCAATGTATGTCGACACAAAAACAATATATCAACATATAACTATGTGCCCACACCATTAAACATTATATTAAAAAAATAATAAACAAATAAAAAGAAAGAACTGAACTGCCCCAGTACCGGGTTCGTAGTGGAGCCGCGAGAGAAGGGCAGCATAAAGGGTGGGGAGGGAGGTGATGGTCGCGTAGAGGGTGCAACTGGTCTGGGCAAGGGCCAGGAGGGCGGGGGCATCGAGCCTCTCGAAGATGGCGCGCTGCAGCTCGGCCGGCAGTTGGCTGAGCAAACCGTTCGTCGTCGCGCCGCTTGCGTCGTGTTCTGCCGCCCCCTTCGAGAAGATGGACTGCCGCACACGTTCAGCCGCAACTGCGGCGGCCTCCCTGTCGAACCGAGCCACGACCACCACCCGAGGCGGGTCGTCTGGGCTCTGTTTGGTCCGTTTGCTCCCTTCGCCTCCCTTGCTCACCTTCGACCCCATCAGCGTTTGAGTTTCTTATTTTTATCAAAATTTATTTAATTTTTGTTTGCTTTTTTGCTTTTTTGTTGAATTTTATGTATATTTGTTTAATCGCACAGTCCAGTCAAGAAAGCTCTCAGTTGGTGAGCTTCCTCATCACGACGGCGACGATGGCGAAGAAGAGGGCGATGATGATGTAGTTGAGCAGCTTGGCCGGACCCTCGATCTCGTGGTCCTGCTGCTCCTGCTGCTGCTGCTCCTGCTGTGGTGGCCCATGCACCTGGTGTGGCTGCGGCTGCTGCTCGGCGGCTCTCTCTGGTGCGCCTCCCCATGGCTGGGCCTCGGGCTGCTGCTGCTGCTGGCGCTCTCCCAGCTCTTCGGCGCGGCGCTCCACCGGTGGCGTGGCGGGCGCCTCACCTTCTTCGTTGCCTGTTTCTACAGAAGACTTCAGTCGTGTGTGTGTGTGTGTGTGTCTGCACGCACACATGAAACACGCGAGTGACGTACCGCTTGTGGATGATGATGACGAGACGGGAGGGAGGATGTTGGCGATGGGTCCGCACTTGGGGCAGCAGAAGTGGACCGACTTCCTGGCCAGCGCCCTTCGCTCGTCGGCAGAGTAGTCCAGCGCGCCGAGTGCGCCTTCGCCCGGCGTCGGGAGGAATCCAATCAACGCCACCAGCGCTGTACGAACTGTGTACGTGAGTGTGCGTGTGCGTGTTGTGAATTAGTGGGTGAGTAGCGGGTGTGTACAGACGCGGAGGGTCGTACTGCTCCACGAGGGCTGCCAGTGTTCTGGGTGGTGCGCCGAGATGGTAAGGCAGATCTTGGTTCCCACGTCGAACCTACCGTTGGGCTGGGTTTACAATCGAACGAATGCGTGAGAAACTAACGACACGACAGGCATGCACAACAAAGGGGCAAGGTGGCGTACCGTGAGCCACACGATGTTGGGCGGTTTGAAGGGATACTCGGCCGGCAACAGGATCCTACCGTGGTAGACACCGCCTTCGAACGGGGTACCGCTCGGCCCGCGAACGGTGAAGTGCCATTCGAAGATGTTGTCCTGTGTAGGAAATAAGGGGTGGGGTCAGCAATTCGAAGATGAAAATAAACACGTTAGCACGAATCGATTGTGCCCAAGGCGCTACAAAAAGATGGATGCAAAAAAAGAAGAGAAGACTTTGATGCACACTGGGCAGTACCTCGAGTGCTCGTGCGGAATACTCGTGGCTCGTGTCCTTCTCCATTTCCTTCATCTCACGCAGGATGCGCTTTACAGAGGGGTTGTTGGGGCTGTAGCCTTCCATCTCTTTTCACGTTTTGTACTTGCTGTCTGCTTTCTCGGGCCACTTTCTCTTTTGGCCAAGCGAACAAAAGGAAAAATTTGGGAAACACATTTCTTAGGAGAAATTCACAGGAAAATCAATTTCTTTGATTTGCTTTCTTGCTTTTCCAAGAACAACGTGTGAGCCAAGATTATCGGCATTTGTGTCTCACGGCCGTGCTCTCATCACCAAACAACATGGATCACACGACCCTCGCGCGCAACCTCCAGGCGATTCAGGTCGCGGTGGAGTCGCAGAAGCAGCTCATGGAGACGACGGACTTCTGCTGGCCCATCTGCATGCGAAATGCGCGCATCGGGACGGAGCTCGATCGAAGCCAGAAGGTGTGCTTCAGCAACTGCGTCGTCCGCTCCATCGATGCCGAGAGGATGATCGCTCAACGCGTGCTTGTCGCCATGAAGCAGAGCTCCACCGGCGAGGCCGAGTAAAAATCTGTCCACATCTCCATTTCACATCGCACTACAAGCCTGCACGATCTGCAGGTTGCGTGCATTTTTATTTAATCAACACACACACATCCAACCCAAGCATAAATCTGTGCTGTAGGTCCCTCCTTGTTGCACGCTCTGCCATCTGCTTGAAGAGATTGGCTTTCATCTCTGCACCACTTCTTGTAGACAAAATCTGGAGGTTGTTTTGTTTGTGGGAATTCACAGATTGGAATCCGAATCGCCGATTTCCCACTTCCACCATTGGAAGGCACCTGCCCCACCTCACAAGCAAAGCCTTGTTGATCGCAGTTCATGAGCGAGCGAGATCCGCTGTTGGCAAACAAGATGATGCGATCGGCGAGGCAAATCGATGAGGAGCAGGCCATCATCGATTACGGGAGGGGAGATGCGGCGCTGGACGTGGTGAGGGACAACAAAAAGCGGATCATGTACATCGTCGTCGGCTTGGGCGTGGCCGCCGCCGTTGTCGCATGCCTGGTCCTCGGCATCATGTGGGCCGTCGATGAAGGCAGCGACACCGACCACCCAGCCACACCCAGCCCCGGTCCCAACGCCGGTACTCGCGACCATACATCATTTTCTTCATTTTTATTTCATCATAATAATCATCAAAACATATTTTAATTCTAATAATACTATTTTTTTCCTGCAGCCTACATCAAGGTGCAGAAGGCGGCGATCGCCACCGAGAACGCCCAGTGCTCTATCATCGGCCAGCAGGTGACCTCCCCTCACCGCCTTTCTTTTTTTTCTTGAGCTTCCATCTTCTTCTCCAAGGGCTCTTCTCATCTGGTGATGGACGACGGCTTGGTCGCGTGTTATATATGATCTGCGCAGATCATGAAGGACAAGGGCGGCAACGCCGTGGACGCGGCCATCGCGAGCAATCTCTGTATCGGCGTTCTCCACAACTTTGCATCGGGCATCGGCGGCGGAGGCGTCATGCTGTGCGACCCCCATCACATCACCCTTCTTCCACTCCCTTTCTCTCGAGGCTCAACCCCACTCCTTGTGTTGACTGTGTGCGGTGGCGCGTGTTGCGTGTGCGGTGGCGCGTGTTGCGTGTGTTGTGTGGGCTCAGGATCCGCATGAATGACAGCCGGTCGGTAATGCTGGACTTCCGGGAGGTCGCGCCGGCAGCCGCCAAGGTGGACATGTTCGTCGGCAAACCGGGCCTCAGGTGCGTTCCCCCCCACACCTGCGCCCACAGGGTCTCTGTTTTTAAGAAGGCAGCTGACCGCTCGTGCCACGTCCCGTGCTGGGCGTGGTTCTTGTCGACAACAGCACGGTGGGCGGTATGGCCGTGGCCGTCCCCGGCGAGCTGGCCGGTCTCGAGTACGCCTGGCTCAACTACGGCTCGGGCAACGTACGTGCATGACCCGGGTCACGACCGACGCTCAGCTGCGCGTCGTCACTGACGCAACGCAACGCACAGGTGGAGTGGCAGGACCTTGTCGAGCCTTCGGTCGAACTTGCTCTTAATTTTACCGTTGGGGATCTGCTCGCCAAGCGGATCGCGGTACGCCTCGTCTGCGAACACACACGACCAACGACGCGACACACATGACACGACACACATGACACGACACACACGACACGACACACGACACGACACGACACGACACATACACACACACGACACAAATAATCTGATACCCTTGGGCGCCGCGCAGTCCTATCTTCCGGCGATTTTGAACGACACTGGCCTGAGCTCCGTCTATGCGCCGAAGGGGGTGGCCCTCAAGGCCGGTGAATTGCACGTGCTCCCCGGCCCACACCCAAGTCCCACGAGAACCTGCAACTCTTACGCCGCTCTCCTTCGTGTGTGTCGTGTGTGCGTGTCGTGCGTGTTGTGTGTCGTGTGTCGTGTGTGTGTCGTGTGTGTCATTCTAATGTATGTGCAGTGCTTCCAACGTCAAGCTGGCGGAGACGCTTCAGACGGTGGCTAACGAGGGTGCCCGGACCTTTTACGACCCGAGCTCGGCGCTGGCGCAGAACCTGGTGAAGGACATCCAGGCCAAGGGCGGCATCATCACCCTAGAGGACCTCTCGAGCTACTACCACAACTTCACCGTCAAGGTCTCTTCCCTCGGGCCGTTCTTATTATTTCAATACATATACAAACATATATACATATATACATATATACAAGCATTATCATAGTATCACTATTATTTGACTTTTATGTGCCGTGTGCTGTTGTCGTGTAGGTCCGAGAGCCGGTCAGCTCGTTCTACCAGGGCTACGAGGTGATCAGCTCGGCGCCGCCGTTTGGCGGCCTGTGCGTGCTGCAGGCCCTCAACCTGCTCGAGCTCTACAACCTGCCCCTGATGGGTGCGCCGCCGCAACTCCTCTCTTCGTTCTTCGTTCTTCGTTCTCTCTTTCAAAGCCTCCCCCCTCTCCCCCGATTGGAATTCTAATCATCTCGCCCGTTGCCACGCAGGCCAAAATGAGGAAACGTACCACCTGCTGGCCGAGGCCCTCAACTTTGCCTTCGCCGACCGGATGGCCCTGGGCGATCCGGCCTTCGTGAACCTGACCAAGGCCATTCCCGCCATGGTACGCCACCCCCCCCCGCGGCCACTGCACGGTACCCACGCTGGCGCTGAATTCTTGGAATGTGCGCGTGCCAATAATTCCTCAGATGGGCAAGGAGCACGCCAGCCGCCTGCGCAGCAAGATCAAGCTCAACGCCACGTTCCCCTACCAGTACTACGAGGTACCGTCGTGCGTGTCGTGTGTGTCGTGTGTGTCGTGTGTGTCGTGTGTGTAGTGTGTGTCGTGTGTGTCAGTGTGTCGTGTGTGGAGCTGAACGCTCCTCGCTGCTCGAGCAGGACCTGGTCAATTTCACGGCGCCCATCGAAGACGCCGGGACCACCCACCTCTCCGTCATCGATTCTCAGCGGAACGCCGTCTCGCTCACCTCCACCGTACCCCCTCCTTCCTCCTCCTTCTTTTTTGCCCTTCGTGTCTTCATTCTCTTTCTCTCTCTCTCTCTCTTCTTTTCGTTGGGCAGGTCAACCTGGTGTTCGGAGCCAAGTTCCTCTCGACCTCTACAGGCGTGGTGCTCAACAACCAGGTAATAACACCGGCCTTCTATAATACATACATATTTCTATATATTGTAATATATGTACATCAACGCGAGGCGTGTATTGTGTCCTTGAATTGACCGCCCCCACGACCAGATGGACGACTTCTCGACGCCCAACACGTCCAATGCCTTCAACCTGCCTCCGTCCGAGGCCAACTTCATCGGTACCACAACGTTCTCGCCTTGCGCGCGCGCGCAACGCACTACCGCACACGCGACATACGGCAACGCATCTGACCAAGTCTTGTCTTAATTGTCGGCGGCAGTGCCCGGCAAGCGGCCGCTGTCGTCGATGTCGCCGACCATCGTCACGAAGAACGGGCAGGTCTACCTGGTAGTGGGCGCCTCGGGCGGCTCCCGCATCATCACCTCCACCCTCCAGGTAACACACGACACACACGACACACGCGACACACGCGACACACACACCACACACAACGCATGAGGGCTAAAAGCACGACATCAGGCTCTGCTGGGGGTGGTGGCCTACAAGCAAGACGTGTGGAAGGCGGTCTCGTCGCCGCGCCTCCACAACCAGCTCCTGCCGCCCTTCGTCTACACGGAGGCCGCCTTCTCGCCGGCCATCACCGCCTACCTCAAGAAGATCGGACACGACGTACGTTGTTGCACCCACCACCGCCTTCTACATTCCCATCACCACCACTCGCGACTCGCTGCCTTTTATTATTTATTTATATTTATTTATATCATTAATTCTCTATTTCATGTTCTCTGCTTGCAGATGGCGTTCATGGAGGAGGTGGGCGTGGTGGCTGCGGTACAACTGGGGGACGACGGCTACCTCTACGCCGCGTCGGACCCGCGAAAGCTGGGCCGTCCCGCTGGCTTCTGATCGGTGCTCTTTTTCGCATTTATTATCTTGGCTGTGCACAAACCTACTGACATGTAACAAGCTGGCATGTAACGCAATGATTGTTGGTTGGTCATCAACAAGCACGTGTTCGTCACAATTCTCAACGGCCGTTGCTAGAACCCCATGACTCGTTCTTTACGTTTAATTCTCACGTTCTGATTGGTTATTTCAGGAACTGTCGGAAAATTCCGCAAGAAATGGCGGAAATGTGCAGTCCAACTCAAGGACCGTGCAAAAATGCCTGCAGTAAAAAGGTGCTGTCGCTGCTCTTCTTCACACATACACAACCACCACAACGCGCAAGCTTCATCGTCGGCTGTGCACACCACATTCACTCACACACACAAAACACCAGCAAGCAAGCATGCGCTCTGCCAACACCAACAACACACAGCTTCTCCAGTGGGTGGAGAAGGTAAAGCAGCTCACCAAGCCCGCCAACGTCCACTGGTGTGATGGCTCAGGTACTTGCCCACACACATGCTCATAAAGTGTGTAGCCTGTTCTTCTTCTTCTTCTTATTCTATTCTTCCAACCTGAATAGACCAGGAATACGCCACGTTGTGCGAGGAGCTGGTGAAGAAGGGCACCTTCGTGCGCCTCAATGAGAAGTTCGTGGGCAAGAACAGCTTCCTCGCTCGCACGGACGAGCGCGACGTAGCGCGTCACGAGAGCCGCATGTTCATCTGCACGAAGGTGGAGGAGGACATCGGCCATGGCCGCAACTGGGCTCAACAGACCGAGATGACCGACGTACGCCACAGTCTTCACCCACTACTCGCAACATTATTACTTTTAATTCTAATTATTCTTTTCTTATCTGTTTTCCTTTTCCTGTTTCTCTGTGTAGCGACTGGCCAAGCTGCTGGCGGGCAGCATGGAGGGCCGCACCATGTACGTCGTGCCGTTCGCCATGGGGCCGCCCGGCTCGGCCCTGGCCCGCTACGGCGTCCAAATCACCGACCACGCCTACGTCGCCGCCTCGCTCTCTCTGGTCGTCCGCACCGGCACCGACGTCCTCCAGCACCTCGGCAATGGCGGTACGCGCTTCGTGAACACACACACGACACACACACAACACACGCACACACACACACGACTCACCGTGTCTCGCAATCGCAATGCAACAGAGTTTGAGAAGTGTCTGCACTCGGTGGGTGTGCCGTTGGGCGGCAGCGCTGCTGACGTGGCGTGGCCATGCAACATCGATGACCACCACCTGGCCTTCTTCCCCGAGCACGGCCACGGCACCGACGCCGACGCGCTGGGCTCGCCCCGCTTCGTCTCGTTCGGCAGCCTCTACGGCGGCAACTCGCTGCTGGCCCAGAAGTGGTTCGGCCTCGACTGGGCCTCGGTGCTGGCCCACCGCGAGGGCTGGATGGCCGAGCACTGCGCCGTTGTCACCCTGACCGACTCCGAGGACCGCAAGTTCCACATCGCCGCCATCTTCCCCTCGGCCTGCGGCAAGTCCTCGTTCGCGCTTCAAATTCCCACCATTCCTGGTACACACGCGCACACAACGCACCGCACGACACGCATGGACCACTGATCCTAAGCTATGTATGGAATGTGTGTGCGCAGGCTGGACGGTGCGTTGCGTGTCGGAGAACATGGCGTGGCTGCGCCAGGGAGCGGACGGCCGCCTGTACGCGACCAACCCCGAGTCGGGCTTCTTCGGCGTGGCGACCGGCACCTCGCAGTTCAACAACCTCTCGCTGATGGTCGCCATGCGCAAGGGCACCAACATCTTCGTCAACGCCGCGCTCACGCCCGAGGGCGACGTATGGTGGGAGGGCAAGACCAAGGAGGCGCCCGCCCAGCTCAAGGACTGGCGCGGCCAGGCCTGGACCCCGGCCAGCGCCACCCCCGCGGCGCACCCCAACGCGCGCTACACATTCCCCGCCACCAACTGCCCCGTCATGGACGAGGCCTGGAGGTTCGGCGCCACCCCTCTCAAATTCTAGAATGAATGTTGGAATGTCTCATTGCTCATTCCGTTCATTCCAATCTGTATAGCTCGCCCAACGGAGTGCCGATCGACGCGTTCCTGCTGGGCGGCCGCCGGAGCACGACCGTGCCGCTCGTCGCGCAGGCGCTCAGCTGGGAGCACGGCGTGTTCCTCGGCGCGGTGCTCTCGTCGGAAACGACCCACGCCACCGACGGCGCGACGGGCGTGGCCAAGCGCGACCCGTTCGCATTCCGCTCATTCCTGGGCTACCGCCTGGGCGACTACCTCCAGCACTGGGGCGATATGGGCCAGCGCCTGGGCCGCCACGCCCCGCTCGTGTTCCAGGTCAACTTCTTCCGCCGCGATAGCGCCGCCGACGGGGCCTACCTGTGGCCCGGCTTTGGCGACAACGCGCGGGTGCTCAAGTGGGTGTGCCAGCGCGTGCGCGGCGAGGTGGGCGCCCGCCGTACCGCCGTCGGCCTGGTGCCGCACGCGCGCGATCTGGACCTCACCGGGCTCGACCTGTCGCGCGAGGTTGTGGAGAACAAGCTGCTGGCCGTCAACGCCCACGAGTGGATGGAGGAGTGCAAGGACATGAAGAAGTTCCTCGGCGGCGTCGAGTCGCTGCCCGGCTTTGTCGCGTCGCAGCTCACCACGCTCGAGAAGAGCCTGCAGCTGGAGCTCACCAAGGTGCCGACGACGGACCGGGCGATCCTCGACTGGGTCGAGAGCACGGTCCGGCTGTGCAAGCCCGACGCCGTGCGCTGGTGCGACGGGAGCGAGGAGGAGTACCACGAGCTGTGCCAGCTGCTGTGCGAGAAGGAAACGTTCGTCAAGCTCAACGAGAGCCTCCGGCCCAACTCCTACCTGGCCCGCTCGACCGAGGACGACGTCGCCCGCGTCGAAGACCGCACCTTCATCTGCTCCACCAAGAAAGAAGGTAACACGTGTGTGTGTCGTGTGTGTCGTGTGGTTCTTGAAACTCACACAACACATGCAACACACAAAGATGCGGGTCCGACCAACAACTGGATGGAGCCGGCGGAGATGAAGGAGAAGCTCAACAAACTGTACGACGGGTGCATGAAGGGCCGCACGATGTACATCATCCCCTTCTGCATGGGTCCGCTCAACAGCCGCGTGTCCAAGTACGGCATCGAGATCACCGACTCGGCCTACGTCGTCGTCAACATGAAGATCATGACCCGCATGGGCATCGAGGTGCTCCACTACATCGAGCAGAACGCCCAGCGCGGCGACCCCAAGCCCTACCTCCCCTGCCTCCACTCGGTCGGCAAGCCGCTCCAAGAAGGTAAGCGCACATTCCATCGCCACCTAGAATGTGTGTGGAATGCATGTGGAATGCTCACACCGCACACGCACGCAACAGGTGAGAAGGACGTGCGCTGGCCGTCGAACCCGCAGAACAAGTACATCACGCACTTCCCCGAGGACCCGTCGGTCATGTCGTTCGGCAGCGGCTACGGCGGCAACGCGCTGCTGGGCAAGAAGTGCTTCGCCCTCCGCATCGCGTCGACCATGGCCCGGCGCGAGGGATGGCTCGCCGAGCACTGCCTCATCCTGGGCCTCACCTCGCCCGAGGGCAAGAAGTACTACATCGCCGCCGCGTTCCCGTCGGCCTGCGGCAAGACCAACCTCGCCATGCTCGTGCCCACCATCCCCGGCTGGAAGGTGCGCTGCGTGGGCGACGACATCGCGTGGATGTACGTGGGCGAGGACGGCCGCCTCTACGGCGTCAACCCCGAGCGCGGCTACTTTGGCGTCGCGCCGGGCACCTCCGACTACACCAACCAATCGGCCATCCAGACCATGCGCTCCAACAGCCTCTTCACCAACGTCGCACTCACCCCCGAAGGTACGCATTATAGTAATATATACTCTTCGACATAGTATCAAGATATAAACTGACTCAATATGTGACGATGGCAGGTGACGTGTGGTGGGAGGGCAAGTCGAAGGAGCTGCCGCCGGTGCTCGAAGACTGGACCTACAAGCAGTGGACGCCCGACTGCGGCCGCAAGGCGGCCCACCCCAACGCGCGCTACACGACGCCCGCCGCGCAGTGCCCCGTGATCGATCCCGAGTGGGAGAACCCGCGCGGCGTGCCCATCTCGGCCATCATCTTCGGCGGCCGCCGGTCGACCATGATCCCGCTCATCTACGAGTCCTTCGACTGGCAGCACGGCACCTTCCTCGGCTCCGTCTGCTCGTCCGAGACCACCGCCGCTGCCGCCGGTCAAGTCGGCGTCGTCCGCAGGTACGCAACCGCACACATGCATGCAACACACAGCACACGACACACAACTAACAGCACGACACGCACATGTGTTAATATAACAGGGATCCGTTTGCGATGTTGCCCTTCTGCGGGTACAACATGGCGGACTACTGGCAGCACTGGCTCGACGTGGGCGCGGCGCTGGGCGACAAGGCGCCCAAGGTGTTCTACGTGAACTGGTTCCGCAAGGACGCCAAGGGCCGGTGGCTGTGGCCCGGCTTCGGCGAGAACTCGCGCGTGCTCAAGTGGGTGTGCGAGATGATCGACGGTGTGGGCGCCCACCGCGACACGCCGATCGGGCGCGTGCCGACCGAAGACGCGCTCGACCTGATGGGCCTCGACGTCGCGCCCGCCGACGTGCACGAGCTGCTGCGCGTCGACAGCGACGAGTGGAAGCCCGAGGTGGCCGACATCCGCAAGTTCTACGCCACCTTCGGCGACAAGCTCCCGGCCGAGCTGCGCCGCCAGGTCGACGAGCTCGAGAAGCGGCTCTCGGCGCAATAGGGACCCCAAGCGTGGGTTGATTGATTGATCACTGTCCCTCATGAATCATCACTCCTGCGCTCTCCTGTAAGTAAAAGTTTTGTTTGCCAACCTGCTGTGTCTCAGCCTGGGTGCGTGCGTGCGGCGTGTGTCGCGTCGTGTCGCGTCGTGTCGTGTGTCGTGTCGTGTCGTGTCGTGCGGTTGTTCGGAACAATTTCTTTTATTTTCTTAGGCGAACTTTTTTGGCTGACGAAGCGTTGACTGGTGTTGACTTGCTCAGGTTGTTGGGCCACAGATCTGTGACGAATTAGAATTGATTGAAGTTACGCTCGCTAGACAGACAAGGAAGAAGAAGAAGAAGATGAGCTCCAACGGCTGGCAGGTGGTGGACACAAAGCAGAGGAAGGCCGAGAAGCAGCAGCAGAAGGGCATCGAGAAGAAGAAGCTGCAGAAGCAGATCGAGCAGGAGCGGCAGAAGCGGAAGGAGGAAGAGGAGCGACTGTCCTACTCGGGCTGGGGTCCTGAAGATGAGGATGCCAAGAAGAAGAAGAAGGCGCTGAAGGCCAAGCTTGCGCAGCAGAAGCCCAAGAAGAGGGAGCTGCCGCAGGTGGCCGACAGCAATCCATTCACCGCGGCGACCATCTACACTCAGCTCAGAGCCTTCGAGGAGGCCAAGGAGAAGAAGGCGCGCGCTCAGCAATCGGCCCTCGAATGGAAGGCCAAGGAGGCCGAACGCGCCGCTGAGGCTGAGGCCGAGATCAAGCGACGGAAGGAGAAGGAGCGCAAGAAGAAGAAGCCCAAGAAGCCCTCTGTCGCCCACCTCAGTGCCGCTGTACGTCGCCACCCCCCCCCCTCTCCAAATCATCTCTCGCACTGGTTCCATTTTCACTCGATTTGATTTCCAAATTTTTGTGGAGCTTCACATTCGCATTTGCTCGATTTTCCATCTATCTCTGCACGTTTTTCATTCATTCATTCGTTGATTCCACATCCGTTTTACTGACGCACCTCAACCTACCTCACCCCCATCGACAGTTGGACGTGGCCTCGTGCCGCACGTACATGGAGGAGCTGAGCTCGAGGTACCCCGCCAAGTACGACGTGCAGCTCATGGCCCTCGCCGACTTCTTCGAGAGCAAGTTCGGCAAGGCCTCGCTCGGCCCCGCCAAGCTCCTCGACGAGAAGAGCTTCGCCCGAAAGCTCGGTATCCCAGTCCTCCCACGCGCGCGTGTCGCCGTGCGTGTCGTGTCATGTGTGTCGCCGTGCGTGTTGCCGTGTGTGTCGCCGTGCGTGTCGGGTGTGCTGACATGGCGCGAATGGCACACAGAGATCCCGTACGCGTACCTGGACGACGCGGTGGCGGAGGCGCTGCAGACGTGGCTGGCGACGGTACCGCCGACGGTGATGGCCGAGTTCACGCAGTTCCTGCTGAACGAGGTGTTCAGCGCCGAGAAGAACCACAAGACGTCGGGCATCGGCCTCCGCATGCTCCTGGCCGCCATCGCCCGCGGCTTCCCCGACGTCGTGCGCGGCGCTGTCGACCACGCCTCCTTCGTGCAGAAGTACCTCGGCGACTCGCCCGCGACCTACCCCAAGCACGAGCCCAACGGTGAGTGCTCGCCAGAGCCTGCTCTGTGTGCGTGCGGTGGCGTGTCGTGCGGTGTTGCTGACGATTGTGTGGGTGTTGTGTGTGTGTGTGTGTCGTGTCGTGACAGTTCTGTCCGAGGACACAGCCCTGTTGCGCGCCAACTTTGTGCCGGTGCTGGTGTGGTACTTTGGCCAGACCATCGAAGACCACCCCGCGCTCGCGTTCGACCGTACCACCTCCCTTCCCTATGGATTGCACACGACACACACGGCACACAAACACCTTTTATGAGTCGGCTGATGAACCATCGTGTCGTGTGTATGTCGGTTGGTCATTGTCATCATCGTTCACACTGATCAGTGTGGGCCGAGTTCCTGCTGCCTTTCCTGCTCGTTTCTGCGCCCGAGACCATCCGCACCCTCGTTCTCGACTACTTCCACCTCCTCTTCACCGAGTACGCGGCCTTTTCTTTATTATTTTATTTTTATTTTTAGTTTAATTTATCATTCATCATTTTAAATCCATTTTTTAAAAAAGGTGAATTTGTCTTATTTATTTGTGGTGGCACAGCGTCGGCGGGAAGGTGAAGCGGGCCGATCCTGTCGTCACCGCGCGCGCGCTGGAGAGGCTGGCCGCCTACCGGGAGAGTGTCAGCGAGAACCAGCTGAAGAAGGGCGCCATCAACCCCATCTACCTCGCCATCGAGGTACTCCTCTCTCTCCCTCTTCTGGCGCACACGCCACCCTGATCGCAACTAACGCGTATTTATTATTATTATTATTATTATTATTATTATTATTATTATTATTATTATTTATTATTCTGTTGATATTATTTAGAACGCGATCGTGTGGCGCAACTCGTCGTCGGTGCACAACTACCTCAACGTCTACCTGCGCCGCGCCGCCTCGGCCAACAAACACGTCCGAGATGAGGTACATTCCTTATTTATTATTTATTGTTTATTCTTTTTTGTGTAATTGTGTAATTGTTTCTGTGTTTATATTAATATATATATTTTATTATTTTACTTTCAGGCCCAGAAGAAGGTGCTGCGGGCGTTGGCGGTGGACAAGGAGTCCTACCAGACGTGGGACTCGCTCTACCCGCGCTACGTCCTCCAGTCGACCCAAGTCATCCTCTTCCTCACCGACAAGTGGGACAAGTACGCACCACCGCACGCACCACCGCACACGCACGCACCACCGCACACGCACACACCACCGCCACATCACCGCACACGGCTGACGTGTTGCGTCGTCAATGTGCAGGTACGTGTTGACGCAGGACAAGGGCACCATTCAGGCGAGCGATGTGGCCGAGACGGTGCACAACTTCCTCTACACGAACGAGAAGCTGGCCGAGTCGCACTACCGGCTCACCACGCGGGTCAAGAAGGGCGCCAAGGCCAAGAAGGAGGCCAAGGCCGACCAGGCCGACGTCGAGGCCAGCACCGCCGCCTGCCGCGAGCTCCTCCGGCGCACCGGCGCCAAGGTGTCGGTCACCGCCTCGAGCCGGCCCACCAGCAGGTCCCGCGCCCAGCACGCCGCCGCCGCCTCGTCCCGCGCCTCGTCCGCCTCCTCTTCCTCCTCTGGGTACGCGCGTGTTGCGTGCTGTGTGCTGTGTGTCGTGTCATTCCACCGCTCATATCACAACACGACACGACACGACACACACCGCACACGCAGGTTTTTGGGTACTTTGGTGTATTTGCTGCTGTTCGTGGCGCTGGTGGCGGCGATCGCGGTGCTCTACCTGCGCCAGACCCAGCCGGAGACCTACGAGGAGCTCCTCAGGACGGGGCTGGCCTACTACCGCGAGGGCCAGGCCCACGCCGCGGTGCTGACCGCGCAGGCGTCGGCCAAGGCCCAAGACCTGCTGGCTCAGGCCTACGAGCTCAAGGCCAAGTACATGGCCCAGGCGCAGCCGCTGCTGGCCCAGGCGTCGGCCAAGGCGCAGGAGCTGCTCGCCCAGGCCCACGAGCTCAAGGCCAAGTACATGCCCGCCACCGCGAGCCCAGCAGCCGCCGTCGCCGGCAAGGCCTAACAAATTGCCGATTGCACGCGTGTCGTGTGTTGCAATACAAATGGCTTCTTTCTTTCTCGCCCACGCAATTGCCGCCAGAAAAAGAGGAAGAAAGAAGAGCAGCAGAGCTTCAGGTGTATTTGTGAATCAGCTCGCGCAACAACTCTCGTCGCGTGCGGCGGAAGGGGACCGAGAACTGCTGCGCGTTCATCGCCTTCACCTCCGCGCTGATCACTGCCGCGTTGATAAGTGGTGGTGGGGGTGGGGGTTGAGCACTCGATCATTCTTTGGTTTGCGGCGGAGCGGAAGAACCAGGAGAGGGGGGTGGGGTACGTTTGGTGAGGAGGAATTCGTGGAAGTGCTCGTCCTTGTCGAAGAGGGCCGGATAGGGCAGGTAGGGCAGGTTGGGATGCACGCCCAGCTTGCACGAGAACCCCACCCTACGCACACATGATGCACGCAGTCCAGCGGACAGTCAGACACACCACACGACACAGTCGCACCGTCGCACACGCCGCACGACACATGCACCGAACCGGTATTTGTCGCCTTCGGGCTGAACCACGCAGAAGACGTGGTTGAACTGCGAGGCGATGTGCTCCGGCGAGAAGGGGATCTTGCCGCCGTCCCGGAACACCACCATCACCACGTCGTTCCCCAGGTGCCGCTTTCGCTCCACCTGATGCAGCCCCCCCGCGTGTGCCGTGAGCCTTCTTTCTGCAAACACACCGCACACGCACACGACAGCACACACATGCGCACACGCACAGTTGCACACGCACAGTTGCACACGCACACGCACACGCACCTGCTGTTTGTCGTCCTCGGTGAAGGGGATGTAGGTGGAGACGTGGAACATCACCTCCCACCCCTTGTGCTGCGTGTAGATGCTGTGCGTGCCCGTCAGGTCGGCTGCGGCAGTGTGTGTCGTGTGTGTTGTGTGTTGTGTATGTGTGTGTGGTGTGTGTGTGTTAAGTTCAACGCGTGCGTGGTGTGTGGTGGAGTGTGTGCGATTCGCCGGCGTACTGTGGACGTTGAGTCCTGCTCGGTATCGGTTCCATCCCTTTAGCACGACCTTGTCCCCGAGATGCCCCAAAAATTCCTCAAATGCCGCACTTCCCGTTCCTATCCCCGCATCCGCATCGTCAGCTGCGTGTGTGCGGTGTCGTTGGTCGTGTCGTGTCGTGTCGTGTTGCGTACTGTTGTTGTACATGTCGTTCTCGTCGTATTGGCCGTGGCTGGCGTAGAGTACGCCGATCTTGTAGCCCCGGATGGACATCTTCTGTTCGTAGTGCACCAGGTTCTCCGACAGCGAATTGCCCGGCCACGTCGACGCTCCCCTGCCATCATTGGTCGGCCCCCAATTAATTGCGTGTGCGGTGGTGCGTGTGCGGTGGTGCGTATGTGGTGATGAGTGTGTGTAGGTGGTGCGTGTGCGGTGGGGAGGTGGTGCGTGTGGGTGGCTGGGGCGTACCTCGCTGAGACGCGCAGTGTGTCCATGTCCACGGCGCTGTGTGAAGAGCTCGGCGATGGGATTGCCAACGAGCGGGTCGCTGTGCAAGTGGTACGTAAGTTACACTCAGCACTTGGCCAGCTCCGCCACCACACATATCACCACACACGACGCATGACACACACGACACACGACACACGACACACGACACATGACACACAAACTGTGCGTGCGTGCGTGCGCGTGCGATATATTACCTTGCCGGATGGTGTCGCCAGCGAGGTTGTGTGGCGAGTCGGCTTCGGTGGCGGCGGGTTGTTGTTCGTTGGGGTCGGCCCCGTACTTTTTGTCGCGGATCTCGAGCAGCTTGGCGTCCTGGAGCTGCGGCATGGCCTGCCTGAGGCCCTGCACCCGTCCCTTCTTCGTGTCGACCGATGTCGCGACCAGCAGCCGCTCATCGCCCTTGAGAAACGCAACAAGGAATGAGCGAAAAAGACAAAGAACGAATGCGAGAAAGAAAGAAAGCGACAAAGAACGAAAAACGCCAATGGGGAAGAGAGGGTGTACGGAGATGGTGCGGACGATGGCGCGGTAGACGAACTCCGGCCGCCGAGCGGTCAGTGAGTTCCGCTTCTTGCCCCGGGTCTCGATGGATATGATCATTGGTCGGTCGAGATCGTCAGTCACCGCGTAGTGCTCGAGTTCTGGCCAAACGAGGTCAGGCACCGTGTGCCGTGTGCCGTGTGCCGTGTGCCGTGTGCCGTGTGCCGTGTGCCGTGTGCCGTGTGCCGTGTGCCGTGTGCCGTGTGCTGTGTGCTGCTGTTATGGTGTGTCGTGTGGCGGTGTACCGATGTCGGCCGGTTCGTGGAGGTAGACCCGGTAGTAGGCGATGTTCTTGGGCAGCTGCCACGTGAATCCGAGGTCGACGGCGTCCTGCTCGCCGCCCAGTTCGCGGTAGAAGCCCGGAATGTCCGCCACGAGCTCGTCTTCCGCCTCAGCGTCGGGAGGCAGCACGCGCTGCAACATTCCAAAAATGCCAGAGGGTTACACGACACTTTCTTCGTTGCCTGGAATGTTGGAATGTGTGACGAACCTTGGGCCACACTCGCTTTGCCAGATCCTTGGCGTTGGCCCAGTCGGGATAGGGGTTTTCGTCCAGTACCCCGTCATTGACCACGGCCACGCCCAAGCTGTGTGTGTGTGTGTGTGTGTGTGTGTCGTGTCGTGTCGTGTCGTGTATCGTGTCGTGTGTCGTGTGTCGTGTGTCGTGTGTCGTGTGTCGTGTGTCGTGTGTCGTGTGTCGTGTGTCGTGTGTCGTGTGTCGTGTGTCGTGTGTCGTGTGTCGTGTGTCGTGTGTCGTGTCGTGTGTCGTGTGTCGTGTGTGTGTGTGAGAGGTACTCCAGAAGTCGTTGTGCTGGAGCGTACACTTCCGTGGAGGTGACGCGCGTGGAGGAAGTCTTCGCGATCAGCCGATCCTTGAGCTTGCGGCCCGACAAGGCCTTGGGCAACCGGGCCGTGAATGTGGTCAGCTCTCGCGACATCTGAGAGATGAAAGAGCACACACTGATGCGTCAGTGCACTTCACTTGAGTGTGCCGTGTTTGAGTGTCGCGTGTCGCACCTTTTTGGAGAGTGTGAGAGAGGAATCCGAGTTTTTGAGCAGACTCACGGAAGCCGGGATGCCTTCTTCTCCGCATTCGTTCTCGTCCTCGTCCTCGCCCTCGGCAGCGCTGTTGTTGCCCGGTGAGTGGGCCTGCGCTTCGCCGGCGGTATCGCAGCGCGGCACCACGCAGGGCGAGCCCACGCTGCCGCCGGAGGGGTTTTCGCCATCGCTCTTCCTGGTTATTCCCTTCTTTCTGTCGCCCAGCCGCAGGCTGAGCCGCCGCTTGTCCTTCTTTGCTCCGACCTTGGCGCCGCCGCCATCACCTTCGGCTTGGGCGAGGGCTAGGGCGGTGTCGAACGCGGTCAGCTCGATCTCTTCGCCGCCCGAGCCGCCATCGCGGTCGGCCACGCCATTGCCGACGTCAGCCGCAGCAGTAGCAGCGGCAGTCTGCTTGCCGGGGATGGTGCTGCCCTCAGGTTCTGCCGCCGCACCGAACCCGACCCGGCTCCGCCGTTTACTGCTCTGCGGGCTGTCCAGATCCTCGTGTTCCTTGGCCTTGGGCTTCATTTTCGACGGGCTCTTGTCCTTCGTGCTGGTCTTACTGCTCTCCTTCCTGGCCGTTTTGGACCCTCGCGACGCCGGATCCTTCTCCTTCTTCTCCTTCTTCTCCTTCTTCTTCTCCTCCTTGTCCTTTCCTTGTCCTTGGTCTTGTCCTTCACCGTTCTGTTGGTCTTGCTGCTGAACGAGCGCGTGCGCTTGATGCGCTTACCTTTGTAGGAAGAAGAAGATGTAGAGTGTTGAACGAGAACAATGAGAATTGCGTAGAGTGTGATCTGGGACAGGGTTGGAAAATACCGGTTGTGGGGAGCGCAGCGAGAGGAGGTGGTCGTCTGTCTCATCGCCGTCATCTTCGGGATAGTCGTTGGTGCAGTAGGGACGCCCCTGGTGCGCGTAGACGGGCGAGCCCGCGTCCAGCACGACCTGCGAGGCACGATTTATCAAAAAAGAGTTAATAATAAAAGGACAAAGAGGCGTACATCGCAGACGACACAGGTGAAGTGCGCAGGGTGCCACTTCTTCCCCAGGGCCGATATGCAGCTGTCATCTTCAATTACCTGCCAGATCCATTGGATTGGTAAAATTAAATGGCGAATTATCATTATGGCGGGGCGTACTTGGTTGCATTTCCCCATTTAGGAAGAAATGTATTGTTGAAGTCTCTCTCGCAATAGGCCTGACCGTCCTTCTCGCAGAAGGGCGTGCCCTGCGTGAAGCTACGCTGGCACACGCAACAGGAGAAATGGTGCGCATGCCTTTGGAGAACGCCAATTAATTTAATTCCATTTCAAAACAACAATGTTGTAAATTTGTGTGCTGATCGTGAAGATGATGTTTGATGTGCGTACCAGCTCTTGCCCAGGGCTTCGATCTTATCCTGGAGAATGGGTTCATTGCATTGGGCGCAGCGATCCGTGAGCTTAGCGGTGTGGCAGTCGGCGCAGTATGGCCGCTCCCGGTAGAACTGGTATGGAGTACCCACCAACATCGCACTGCAACGCTTACAGCGAAAGTGGTCTTGGTGGTAGACCTTCCCCATCGCCTGGCCAGCTCCGTGTTAACCCTTCCCAATGAGGGTGAAGATGCAGTTGCTGGCGGCGGTGGTGGTGGTGAAGAAAGCCGCACCTCAACTGGAGCAGACAGGACCGGCCGCTTACAGACCTCGCATCTAGGCTTGAAGCCGCTGCCTCGCCCCGTGCCCGCGAGTGCGTTCACACAGGGAGAGGAACGTGCGAGGTCCCCGCTCCCGGACGGACGCTTCCGTCGGGCCAGCTGAGCGCTGATGCTCTCATCCATCTCTCTCTCTCTCTCGGACAACAACCTGCGACTCTAGGTTGTTTTCTTCTTCCCTGAACGGCACGCGGCTTGAGCTCAACCATCTCTGGCATGCAACCCCCTCTCCTCCGTGAGAAACAGGTAGAGGCTGACTATATATGTGTGACTTTCCTTTCTTGGGGCTGACAGACCTAAAATGGAGTTTTGTTCAACAAAGGACAATAACCTCCGCTAGTCTCACCCTACTTTGAGTGTTGTCAGGTACGCACCAAACGTATTTGGGCACGTGTGCCTAAAACAGTGAAGAGATGCGCGTTGTCTCTCGCCATTCCTGGCACCGGGTATAGTCCCTTCTTTTTCTTCACCTCAAGAGCCAAGAGAAGGTGAAGAAGAAGCTGGGCTTCCCTCGCCCCCTTGAGCCATCAACGGACAGAGCGATCAGGTACCTATTTTTCTCAACACCGCACCTTTCAGCACCTCCTCGATGGAGCGCGAATCTCCCCGTCCCACTGGGGCCTCTCAATCATCATCATCAACATCTCTTTGATATATACCAATTCAATCCCTCAGTTCTTAAACTCGACCAGCTAATCTCTCCCTCCCTCCCCCCCGTGGTGTCAGGTTGGCCCGCAGTTTTTAGCCGGTGTTGAGGGGACAACGAAAGCCCTACGCCCGCTACAACCCAACGCAACCGCCACCTTTTTATGGTAGGTGCACCTCTTTTTTGGTAACTTTTCAAAAAACAAACCCTGGGCCAGATCAGGTCGCGCTGTGTTGCGTGTGGCTAACGCGGCGCACACTGCAGCTATTGCTGTAATCCTATTTATGTTTCATTATTATTGTCCGGCCCTGAAGATGCGAACGATTTCCGGTCGTCCGTCCGTCATGATGGGAGCCCGCAACAACTCTACTGTACCACTACTCCTGAGCCTTGTCATCACCATGATGCTGCTCTTCCTGGGCTCGGCCCAGGCCGATGATCTCTGTAGAATCTACACGACGTCCTCTTGTACCGCCAACGCTGCCCTCTCCGGGGTACTTGCCACAACCCTTTTCTCGCTCCGTCTCCGCAACCGTCTTCGCAGGGATCTCAATGTGTGCTGTGTGTCGTGTGTGTGTCGTGTGTCGTGTGTCGTGTGTGTGTGTGTGTGTGTCGCGTGACAGACGACGGAGGTCGCCCTTAAAGCCGAGATCCAGACCAAAATGAATAACAGCGCGAACTTCGGTTCGACGTACAGCTGGGACAACGACTTCTGGTGGGAGCAGAACACCTACCTGCTCAACTTCACCTACACAGCCATCGATCCGCGTACCTTCGCTCTTCGTGATCAGCGCAACGGTCTCTTGACGATCAACACTGCCGTCCTGAACATCCTCTGTAAGGCCGAGTTCAACGGCACGGCCTCCATCATCCGCCAAGTGACCCAAAACGCCGTGTGCCCGTCGCCGTCGCCCTCAGTCACCCCTACCTTGTCCCTCACCCCGTCGCCCACGTCGTCCATCTCGCCCAGCGCGTCGCGGACCATGTCACCCACGCCCTCTATCTCGCCCTCCAAAACGCCCACGATGTCCCCCACGAACAGTCCCACCCCCAGCGTGACGCCCTCGGTCACGCCCTCACCCACACCAACGAGATCTGTGACGCCCTCGATCACGCCCTCACTCACCCCAACGAGATCCGTGACGCCCTCGGCCTCGCCCACGGCCTCGATCTCCGTCACGCCGACCACGTCGCCGACCACGTCGCCCACGCAGTCGCCCACCCGGTCGCCCACGCCTAGCGTCAGCGCGACGCCCTCGCAGACCCCCACCCAATCGCCCACCCGGTCGCCCACCAACAGCCCGACCACATCGCCCA